AACAAGAGCTTGGTGATAAGATTTCTTTTACATCATCCATGTAATATTGTAGAGCTACCCGCACGTTGGCCAGGTATGCACCCAATCACCAATGTCTGAATATAGGCAATTTGGAAAGGTTAAAGCTAAAGACAGGGGGACTGGTTGCCCATGTCTATCGCAATGTGGGCTGCATTGCATGGTTTACTTGGACCCAGGCTGACTGATCACTGTACAGATCATCTTCAGATACTCCATCGGAAAGAGTTCTCTTCTTTGTGAGGCTCTTGATCCGAGAATTGTATACATGAACCTCTCTAGGCTTGTTGTCGATGGAAGTCGCATTGTTAGATAGACATACCAAAGCCAGGAACTGCCGGCCCCGGACAGCTTTTGCCAGCCTGCGTTGATACGTCATTTCCTCGCATTATAGCCAGACTTTAGTGCCCTGTATGCCTTGGCCCACCGATTGTGGAAATGACAGCCAAAAGTCCCCGACTGATATGATGTCTGTCGAACCTTAGAGGGATGTATGCGGAAATATGAACATGAAGTACCAATTTGACTGAAGGTAAGCACCCAGAAACATCACGGTGTGCTCTTCTCAGCAATACTCATCCCTATTCTGTTCATGTACCTCCCTTGTATTCAATTTGGACATATTTTCCTGCTTGATACTGACAGCTAGGTAGGAACAGTCACAGTTCACTGCCCCACTGAGTTATACATCAGGGAACGCCCATTATACATCAGTTAATAACGCATTAGGAATAGAGAACAAGGATTCAGCTGGTCCTGTTCTGCAGCTTCGCTCCTTCCGAGTGCCTCGTCAGCCGAAGCTCTCGCAAAACCTCCGATCAGAGCCCAAACAGGTGGCTAGGAGCGCTGGGGACAAAACGCAACACGTAGACGTTCGCTCTTTTCACCACTCTCGTGGAGCCTCTGTTTGGTTAACCTCTGGAAGAGGATATCAAATCACGGAACCTTCCGTCTGATAAGTGGTTCGATACAAGTTACCGATCATCACTCGACCCCCTAGCCATTTATGGTGCTGAAAGCGAATCCGTTCCAATATTATTGTCTTGGCTCTATAACGAAACTCGGCAGACGTCCCCGAGGGGTTTAAAGACCAGAAACAGACATCTACCCGTTCGACGAGCTGTCATATCATCTGCGGTCAAGGGCCAGCCCTCTCCAGATTACAACAGTGGGTCGTGATCAGAGAGAGACCCGCGTTGCATAAAGGCAACCTCAACAACTGGCCTCGACGATCGAAAGAGCCGGGAAAAAAGAGCCCATCCCGCAGCGATACCCACACCGTCATGCAACTGTTTTCAGATGTGCATTAGTCCGGAACCAACAACCCGGCAGAGACGAACGAACGATTGCAAGGGCCCTCTGGGGCTCACACTCAACAACGCCACGACGAGGGGTTAGTAGACCCATGATTTTCTCTTTAAATTAATATCTCAACAGTTCTGAGGTTGCCGTGTTCCCGTTACACGCGGCCCCGATGGCCACTTTTCCCCAGAAATTTAGCTGACGGCATGACGGGCAACGAACGCCGTTTCAGACGAGTGTCAAAGGCGATCGAGCCCCACGATGGATGCACCCCTGCTACCGTGCCCTCGGGGGTTGTGAGAATCGGCAGGGCACAGCACTTGCCCTCGTTCCTTACTCCAACTGGTGCCATTTTTAATAACTTAAACCGGTGAACCAGATTTGCCAGATTAAAAGAACCCCTCCGCCAAGAGGAACTCCACACCAGTTGAAACGGGGACCATAGAAACAGGGCCCAAGAGGGCGTACGTAAAAAGTAAGCCACATGTGCCCTTGAACAGACGCTCTCTATTCTCGATTTAGGATGCACTACGTTTGTGGAGAGAAACCCTTGTTTTGAAATATGGAGTAGAGTTCTCGTTGAGGAAGTTGGGACTGGTAGGAGGCAAGGGTGCCAAGTTTACTATGCTTCCTTCATTGAGCTTTGAATGCATATCTCGTTTCTTCTTACTGTTTTGTAAAAGTGAAGCCCGGGGGAATAACAAGGAGCAATGGGAACGGGTTAAAAAAAAGGCCTGATGGAGCGGCGGTCTAGACCTCGGGCCTGTGGAGAGAGCTGGCTAAGAACAGAGAGGGATTTTGATGCTGCTTGCTTAGTTGATTGAATCATCCCACGTGAACGGAGGGCAATCCTGAGGCAAGAACATTAGCCAGTATAGAAGGTCAGTAAACATACCCAGCCCTCGAAGGAAGAAGAGATGACCAAACGCTACAGGAGGCGAAAGGCTGCAGATAGAGGCTGGGGCAAAACAGACCAAACTTCATCCCCTTGACGGGAACGCCGGGCGAGCTGGTAACTGTAGAGAGGCAACGACAAAAAAAGGGACTTGTACAACAGAATAGCACCGGTTGGGGCCATATTACAACTAAGCGGGAGGCTTGCGCCGGCGGGCGGTCATGTGAGTTACGGGTAGAGACAGATAGAAGGCAGAAGAAGAACAAGCTGAGACGAGGCGCAGTGCGGAGCTCGTGACCGGGCGTGGATTATTAGGCCTTACTGTTGCTAGATGATATGATATGATCCAACTCCCTCCGTGTAGTGAACAACAACGAATGAAAAACCGATGTACGCCGTATCCGCCTTTCCTCCCCTACCCCCGGATCTGCAGGATGCCGTATTGGGATGACAAAATGAGACGATAAGTTCGTCCACTATCCCTTCGGGCGTGATCTATCAAACGAATTCAAGATAAAGAGACAGTCACCGTGGCCCCGCCTGGTTAGCTGTATGCGGGCACCCGGCATGCAGTCAGATGATGGTGCTGTCCTGTAGTGGTTAGAAATAAAAAGGGTGATATTCCGGTCCGTGTTCGAGTAAGACTTACAAGGTTGAAATGTCGGGTTGATCCCTCATGTAAGATTGTCGGCCGAGTATGAGTGAGGAGGGCTCGGAGGAGGGGCCGGCCCGGGCGGGTTTGGTGGTGGACGAGGGCCTGGGGGAGAGGGCAGAGGTCTAGGGCCATCTTGGGGAGGCATAATGGGCGTCTCTCTCGTTTATAGTAGAGATCAAAAGGAGTTGGGGATTTTTTATTTATTAATTTGCTAAAGGGGCAACGCAAAACGAGGGGCTTGGGGCCTTCAGGTTTCAGTGAGAAGTGCCTGAAGAGGAGAGCGGAGATGCTCCTTGTCTAGATGCCCGAGAATAGCAGAAGTAGAATGGGAGTTGTGATGGTGAGGCTGTCTGGTGTCTTATACTTTTGGTGCTAGGTCTACTGTGAAGCCCTTCCCAACACCAGGTTAGTCCCGTCCCGTTGCTGTGGGACATCTACAACGAAAAGCCGGGGAACTTTGATATGGCGGTCCCCCTGGGATCCCGTAGTAATCGCCTCTCGGCGCCCCCTGTCGGCCGAAACCAGCCCACCTGAGTTGACATATAGGATCGGTTGGCACGCGGGGTCCGAAGGAATTGAGCAGGCTGCCACTTTCAGCCAGGCTGTGTTTGGGAGAGCTGGTTGTAGGTGTCGAACGATGGCACTCAAATGGGATGCAGGCATGGCCGGGGGACCAGCTTGGGCGTGTGACATATATGCAGCCCTATAATGGCGGAGGGGAGGGCCTTGTACATAGCCCACTCGGTCTACGTTCTGCATTCAGTCTCCGGGATGGTGTTATTAAGGGACTAAACCGATGATGGCAATGGGGCAAGCGGGCGGGTCATATCGTGATTAGTGTCAACAGTAATAATACTAGGCCGGCTTGGCTGGAGCAGCTCGCCGGATTGCTTGTGGGTTGACGGTCGTGTCGGGAGGTGTCTAACGTGAGACTGTGGAAGAGGAGCAGGAGAAGGCGGAGGAGGCCAGAGGCGTAATGCTCGGCAAGTTCCAAATAAAGGAGAAGCTCCTACGGGCGTCAGAAGATCAGAGGCATCCAAAGCCTCATGGCTATCGGCAGTTGTGACAAGTGTTGGTTGGACCTTACGACGCAGCTGGCGTAATGCTGGGATGGACTAAGTTGAAAGAGAACAGGCAGGGTAGGGCACAGCTATCTATTGTCATACCTTGCTCAAACAGAGTAACCAAACCTGGGCTGAGAGGAAGGGGCATGGCCGGCAGGACCGAGCCGTAGCCTCGGGGAGGGCTCTGTACGGTGGACGGAGGGAGTGGCACTAAGCATCATAATCGCCAGGTCCAACATCCAAGGACCACCAAGGTGCTTCTACAGAGGATGTGATAGGATTGGGGGATTTCACATGGCCACGGGAGCAGTAAGCGCGGGATCACGGTAACGTTGTGTGGTTGTACGGCCAGGCCGCAAAGCGGCCCGCACGAGATCTGTTGAACCCGCAAGGGCGGCGTCTGAGATCTCGCTCTCGAGACAAGCAGGTAGCCTGTTGCGAGTGGGCCTGGAGGGCGAATATGGCCCGAGGAACAGGAAAGGACTGCCACCAGCAAGTCCCTCCAGCCTCACTCAATGTACTGGAGGTAGATTAGGATAGATGGGATCCTCGCCTCATGATTGATTATGTACCTCGCACCGTCTCTCCCCTTTGGGTAATGAGGGACGGGCCCCCTGCTCGGTGGCTCGTCACTGTGATAGGTATTGGTACGGGGGCGTGCTCGGTGGCATCATCACCGACGAAGCTCCCATCCCTAAATGAGCAGATGACCGTAGCCGGCGTGTAGGATTGCCCGCTCACGAGTCACGGCACTTTGCTAGCACCCCTCCTGCACGGTCAATCACGTTTCAATGGGTGCCACAGTTCAGCATGTAGAATTGGCTGCCACGGCTGTCATGGTGGGCAGGGTGGGCATGGAGGTCATGAGTCGCGAAGTCCCACGACGTTGCTGACCCTGGTTGAAGCACTGGCCACGAATGAGGTCCCCACGATTAGGTATGTAAGGCTATTAGTTTTTGTTCATAATTTCACTAGCTTCTCGATGTTCCCGATGTGGCCTTATCCCTCCCTAGACGCCTGCAAGGTAATTTTAAAAGCAACAAGTATCGCAAGTCATTAGCTCATATTATCCGGGGATAACGAGGTTTTTAGCGAACTCGAGAGCGGCTCGCGGATCGGCTCCGGTCACTAAAGCCAGTGTAGCTAGGGCTCCGACTTCGACGCCTGCTCTCACCTGCGTCGTGGCGGCCCCGTCGTCTGGACATGGGTGACCGGGACCTCGACCGAGAAGAGAAAGAGTTTCGGGAGCGGCTGCGATACCGGCTTCCTCCACCCCTGGACGATCCAGGCCTTCCCATCTGCGATTTCGAAGGTGAGCGTGATGATGGCCGGTAGACATCTGATCTGTGATTATATCGGCCCGCCGGTGGGGAGTGACGCCGCCGTCCTCCGCCACTTCCTGCATTAACGCCACTCCCGTGAGCACCTCCTGCACGTCCTCCGCCAAATGGAACTCGCGGATCAATGTTTGCACCACGTCTCGCCATTGGAGGCGCCGGGGATAGCTTCCTTCGGGGTAAGACAATGGACACGTTGATGGTAGCACCGTCTACTTGAGCCTCGTGCATATGAGCAATCGCGGCTTCCGCATCACCTTCGTAATCATAGAGAATGTAGGCTGTGCCTCGATTGGTTCCGACTGTACGTGGGGGACGGGTCAGCAAAGCACCGACAATCAGCAATGGATTGAATTGCCATTGCATAAAGGAGCGTATCTGCTTACAAGTCCTGTTGATGGGGAGGTCGAGGTCTTTGATCGGACCGAACTCTCCGAAGATTTCGTGCAAATGATTCTCATTGATGTTCTTGGAGAGCCTCTCTACAACGATCTGTTTTCCAGCAGTCAGTTAGAGATCAGTGCCAAATGATTCTGCGCCGTGAGACGAGATATACGGACCTTGGTGCTTTTGGCCAGAGGACCCTCGCTACCCCTGCTGTTGCTCCTTCCACGGCCTCGACTCCAGCTGCGGCTGTCGCTTCTGTGTCTGCCGTTGCGTCGGGAAGGGGGCGGGGTGCGGCTGCCCAGCCTCGAAGGCGACCGAGAATCAAAGCGGCGACGTCTGTCGGGGGATCGAGAATCAGCAGATCGAGGTGTTGGAGAACGCGACCACGAGCGGCGACGGCCCCGTGGGGGAGATTGGGATCGAGACCGAGATCGAGACCGGGAAGCCATGGCGGCGGCGCGGAAGTGCCTACCCAAGACACACTTTCGAGAAGCAGGTGGGATGCAACAGCGAAAACAGAGGTGGGAGGTTGGCGGCCCAGCACGCACTTGACCGTGCATGCGCGTTTGCGGTGCGAGCAGCTGCACGGTAACTTTGCGAGGCGCCAAGTCACGTGACGGGCAAACTGCTGGTGAGCTCCTGGCGAACTCAAAAGTTCGCCATGGGCAAACATTCACGACGAATGGCCAGCAAATACTGACGAATATTTAGATCTGGGAGAAACGACTGTTGGTGACCGTGTATAATGATTCAATTCGTTCTGCGCGATTTCTCGTTGCTAATACTACCTCGCTCCTCCTTGCTCATATGTCGCAATCCCCTGATAACATAAGACTGTCCGTGCTATAATATTGCTCCCTTCAAGGCTGGAGGCGCAAACAATATTCATGTCCCTGCCTCCGTAATCCTGGCGAAATAAAAAACAACAATTGCAGCTAATAATAAGGTGAGTAGAGACCAGTAGCGCGCGCATCCTCGTGGCGAACGACCTAACATATCTGCCCAGGTCGTCATCCAAATCCGAGTTCCTAGCACTGGACCCAGCGCAACATGGCCTCTTCGTAGTATTGTGATCCGCTCAATGACGCAGTTGCTCCACGCGTTCCCTGCCGAAGTTTGGGATCGTTTCGTTTCGTTTCGTCTCGCCTGGCCCCGGGTTACTGCTTCTTGATGAGACGGAGAAGCGACCAGGAGGACTTCCCAAGCGGCTCTGCCTCGTCGTGCTTGTTGCCGTCTGTGCCAAAAATCTGCATCTCGTGATCCGCGTTTGCTGGTTCTTCATTGGCTTGCTCGTGATGGTCGCGTCTGCCACGCTGGGTTCGGCGGCGTTGCTCCATGTGTCGGCAGTAGAAGATGAGGAATAGAAGAACGGTGAATGCGACGACCGTTCCTGCGATGATGCCGGCTTCGAGAGGTGTCATGTCGTGCTTTTCGACGGGCTCGAATGCGTCAGGCAAGTAAGATCCGGCCTGCTCTTCGGAGCTGGGATACCCAGAAGCCATGGTAAGGTATGATAAGGTATGTAGGTAGATATACAGAAGACACCGATGAATAAGGATAGGCGTTTTTGGTAATAATGAGCGTGGGTTGGTTGCCGCTGCGCTGATAAATGTTGGTTTTCTTTTTGTTTCTTGTGGCTTTTTTGTGGTGAGAAATGGGAGTAGAGATCTCGCTTGAATTCCGAGACTTGGCGAAGGAGTGAACAGTAGACGAACGATTGGATATTGGATGCAGAGATGTGGTCGGTGAGGTTGTGCTGGGAAGCCTAGTTGCGAGGCACGCAATCGTCAAGATGTGAGGGCATGGTTATTTAGTGATGATGCAGTTGTCGGGATATGAGACGAGGGCGAATCACAAAACTAGGCTAAAGGCTCTGTTTGTTGCCTTAGATCAACCTCAGACGGCTCTCAAGTCACAAAAGATCCGCCGAAGGCTTAGGGCACCTCCCGACGGAGGCAAGTTTGAGCTTCTCTCGTGCTGGTGATCCAATCTCAGTGCATCCTCACTTTTCTCGGAACGAGCAGAGGCCATGGCGTCGTGTCTTGTGTTACTAGCCGCATTGTGCAACGACCCTCATGGCAATGTTAAGCGGCCACCGAAAAGCAAATGGGTTTCAGTTTTTATTGTCAACACTCACGAAAATGTTCTAGTCTGGGCATCCGTCAGCCAAAGGTTCCTAGGAATTCCGCCTAACCTGCCCCGTTCGAGATTTACCAAAAGAAGCAGAGCCTTGATGTATCAATACTTCGTATTGTTGAACAATCGACCATTATCTGCCTATGAGACCTAGCGAGCCTTGAAGCTAACATGGCAGCCGTTTAGAAGGCTAGTTGTGGTGCTCAGGGTATGCAACATAGGACGCTCGTCCTTCGGTTCTACAGTTTCAAATGTTTGAAAGACCCTCACGACCACGTATGCCATCTGGGTTAGGGCAAACTGCTGTCCTATGCATGTCCTAGGTCCACCACTAAATGGAAGATACTCCCATCTGAATGGGACGTTAGCAAGCGAGAATCGCTACTCTAACACTGTGGCAGATTGATCGACTCACGAAGTCCTCAGTGTCTCCCATCTCTCAGGTCGAAACTCATGCGCATCTTCGCCAAAAATGTCTTTGCGGCGATGTAGACTATGCAGACTCCAGCGAACGGCCGTTCCTTTGGGGACAAACAGAGGTGATTGGCCATCGGCACCGCCGCCCTTGGGAAGGACCGTATCTTTGGCTGCGCATCGCATATTCGTAACTACAGGGGCCCAGAGTCTCAATGCTACAAGAAGTTGGTAAGAAGTAACCCATCAAGACAAACACAGCCTCAAGGGGCTCGGATAAATTGCTTACTCTCTTTCAGGGCCATGTTGACGTATCTGAAACTCTTGAGGTCTTCCCATGTCGGCTTCTGGCCATCCTCTAACACAGCGATCTCGTCCTGGATCTTCTTGACGATATCCGGTCGCCGCGCTAGAGTCCAGAACAATGCACTAAGCGTACTGGCGCTGGTGTCCCTCCCTCCAATGATGATCGCAAGGAGCTGATCGCGAATATGTTCCATTGACGCCCCAGACTGCAGAAGTTCGTGGAGAAAGAGATATGGTCGTTCCTTGAGCTTCTGATCGGCCGAGGCTTTCGCCACATACCTGTCGATGAACCTTTGGCATGTGCGAACTGAGTGATCGAGCTTCTTGTCTGGGATGAGGTAGGATATCCATCCCAGCCTGGCGCGGCTCGCAGAGACGTAGAGGGCATGATCGAAAGCTTGAGTAAATTCCGAGGTTTCTTTTGTTGGGTTAAGAAGCATCTCCGTCGAGTATCCAAACCTGGCGCATATGGTGTTAGTTACATATACTTTCATTCGCAAAACTGTACATCTTTTCAGGTCGGATCCCTCACATGAAGTCAGTAGCTGAGTCCATTGTCATCAAGTAGAGGAGCTTTTGGAGATCAATACTTGACCCGTCTCTCGGGATCTTGCCAAGGAACCTCTCCACATGCCTGTCCTGACATTCAAGATCTGCGACCTGGTTCCTCACAAAGCTCGGCTTTATCAATGCCCTCCCTTGCTGCCATTCCTTCCCGTTGACCGAGAAAATGGCATGCGGGCCAAGCGTGATGATTGTCGTCGTTTGCCGTACACCACCAATCGGCCAGCATTCGAATTGCGTAGAGAGCAACACCTTTAAGTTCTCGGGCTCGTTTGTTAGCAGAATCCACTTCCCGAAGGCCAGGTGCCAGAAACTATTGCCAATGGAAGCGAACAGGTCATCCCAGGTTTCGAGAAGGTTGTAAGCCTTGAGACCTTTGGAGGCGCTTATCATCCAGTCCACACCAAGGATTGGGTCGCGGTGAGGATAAACATTTCCAGGTTTAGTTTTGTGTACACGGTTGTTTCTCAACCAGAAATGCTTGTTGCTGGTGTATAGAAACAAGGGGACGAGGGCAAAAGCCACCCACGGCAGCAGATATGGGGTAAGCGGCCCAAGTTGGCGAGCTGCGGGGTCTGGCAGGAAGCCATAGACGGCACATGTCAGGATGTAGATCGCAGAGAGCGTTTTTCCCGCGAGGTAGGAGGCCTCAGAGATCATGTTCACTAGGAATAGGAACGAGTCGCAATATAATTCAGGCGATTATTTACATGGGCAGCTTGATGGTCCCAACACGGGACTGACGAGGCGCTTTATACATGTCCGAAAACCTGGGGTCCAGCCAATCCCACATGTAACATTAACCATCACCCACCCGCCCTGATATCCCGATGGAACGTGCGCTGTGTCGCATTGGGCTGATTAGCGCACTCGCATGGCGTCCAGTGGCGGCTCGCAACCAGTTTAGATCCTCACGTGGATGGCATTTGGCTGAGGAGCTGAAAACCAGGTTCCAATGAATGGCCCAAACACTAGGCTAGCCCTACAATATTGGCTTTATGCGAGCTTGGTTGTCAGGATAGACTTGGAATACCGAGTAAGCTGAGGGAGCCTCGGGTCAGGTCAGCAACACCTTCGGCAGATTTTAGAGGAAGGTCCCATTCGCATAATCCATGACGCAGCTAGGCCATTCTCAGAAATGATCACAGCTGATCAGATGCGAATGGCTTCGATCCAGAGGGGAAAATAATTTTCTCTTGCGGAAGCCAACAGGAATCGATTCCATCTATTCAGGAATGTAGGTGCGTACTAAGGATTAACTTGAACCTCAATACCAGAAGAGATATGAAGATAGTGCCCACACAAGAGCTAACAAATGAGGCAGTCTGCTTCAGAAGCTCACCACAAATCTAACTTGAGTTGATATCTCTACTATGTAGTGTGTATATGCTTTTTACGTCGGATTTCGTTGTTCGAGGCCATTAGAAATATCGTCAAGCGTGTTTTCCTAGGGAAAGCCCATCCTTTGACCTTAAGATGAGTATTATCTGGGCACCAAACCTAGGCCAAAAGATGGTCAACCTCCTTGTCCATGTTGGCGTGCTAGATCTTCTCATCATGGCTGTTGAAGAGTCAGTCCCCCTTCTTTACTCAAACTTTCCGTTTTTCACGGCTCTGAAGTCTGGGCCGACGATATCAACATTCATATTAGGAGTCTTCCACCATTCGACTCACATAGAAGTCATGGGTTGAGAATGACCAGCCTCCAAAGATATCTCGCCGGCTTCCTTGTTTAATCCGGGTGGTCTTGCCATATACTTCCACTTTTCCTTGTCAAAGTAGTCGGCTATAAAGACACCACTAATGGTTTGCCGAACTCGTCGGGCCTGTTCGTGATTTGATGTTTCCATCAAAAAATGAGTTTCCCTCGACACTTTACAGAGGAATCTTTCAAGCGAATTCCTCGAATATCCTTCTCGTGATGCAGAAGCAACTGATTGGGCTTCGTCCAGGATGTACTAAGGCTATCAGTGGTAAGCGACTAACATAAAATCTGGCACATCTAGACGGTCCAGCGTTAAATTTCAACACAGTATCAGAACAATTGACCTAGTAATAAATACCATGTCCAGCTAAATGTCGCAAAGTAATCTGATACACTTTGCTATTCTCTTGTTGTTGTATTTATTGGAAACGAGGTCCCCGCCGACGCGAAAAGAGTTGGTGTGCCATGTTTTATTTCACCCACTTGAGTGGCCAGAGCCCCAGTTCGTGAAGGAACAAAAGACTGCGGTAAAGCTCATCAAAGTAATATTAGCCACCAGGCCTTGGTTGTGCCAAAGACCCCCCAAATGACGGTACTAGTGGTCCGCATTATGCCGATCAAAGTTGGAAGCGTCATCTCGCAGCGCTCTCAACACTTACTCGCATGCCTCGCTGGGTTGGCTCGACTAGCTTTTCGCTCCGGAAGGATAGCTCAACAATTTCATTTGTTGTTGTCAATCGAGTGGTTTCAAACGACGCGTACCTGATCTTCACTATCATATGACATCATTATGGCGATCAACGTAAACTCAAAGATGAGAATCAGGCCAAACTATCTGACCGATCCAGTACGAGCGATGAGCGATCAAAGGTACGGAACCAGCTTGAGAAATCTTTAGGTAGGTGGACAAAAATTCATTTCCATTATAAACAAGGAGGAAAAAACGCCTAGGTTTTCACTCATACATATAGCTTGACAAGCTGGCCGCCCTCGACGGGACAGCAACAGCATAGCCTTGCCCAGCCGCTCCCCATCAACACGAGCACGCTGGAACTAGTTGAAACGCATAAACCTATTGCCATCGCGAACAAACTCCATCACATCAAGTTCCAATTCATAGCGAAAGGACGATGCATCGCTCAATAACCCATCTGCCGTGGCCTCTAAGCCCGTGATAGTCCGTGGTCGGCGTCATCATGTCCATTGCTCCATAAGCAGATACCCAAGAAAAGGAAATTATTTCCTCGTCGCAATGACTGAGAAGGAATGTCAGTACAACAACAGATTACATAGAGAGCAGAAGTCGCCTTTACCTGTTGGGATAATGATAACCAGTAGCAACACGATAATACCAACGATCAGACAGACACGCATCTTCATATCCTTCCACCACATCTGCTTGCGGACCCGGTTGGCGCCCCGGCGGAAACCTTGAGCCGATGTAGCCAGATCGTTGGTCTTGTTCTGAAGGGTGTCGAGACGCTCGCCACGCTGGGAGACCTTGTTGATGTTGTCACGCATAACACCCACGGTGTCATCGATTTGCTGCGAAAGGAAATTAGCCCGTGTTATTATGCGTCTGGGTGTTGTGCGCGATAATGAGAGTCTGCCCCAAGCAACCGTATCCCGATGATGAGCAACTTGTAATTCATCGTCGACGAACACGTAGATCAATTGCTAGCGTCTAAGTTCCAGCTGGCGATGCGCCTTCTGATATGTGCATACAATGATCCATCATGTTCGCGAAACGATGATCGCAAGGCCAACATCCAGATCAGGCTTGTTGCCTGAACTGGGGGGATGTGCTCCAGCAGCCTGGCTGCCGTGAACCGGTCGCATTGGAGTTCGGTGACGTCGGCCGTTGGCGCCAGCTCATCGGATCGGAATCCAAGGGCTCTGGGGCAAACATGACTCCACGGGGATCGCGAGGCTCTGGTTATTGACCTACCGCTTGCAACGCCTGGGTCCTGGAGTCACCACCAGCACCAGCTTCCTCATTCCTGGGGCGGTAGGGATCGTAAGGGGCTTCGGCCATGTTGACGGTGTTGGACGGGTGATTATTCGGATTTGAAAAGATTGTCGGATGCAGAGGCCGAGTCTAGATACCCTGATGCGAGCTTGTTCGATAACTTGAGCGTGGTGATGGAGTGTCGTTGGTAGTGGATGATCAGGAGGTTGGAGGATGACAATTGAGCAGCTGGCGGCAGGAGAGGATGACCGCAGTGGAGGCGAAAACTGATTCGCTGGGGGGCGCCAAAGAGGCGCTGCACGGGGTGACGAAAGCAAGCGGCTGGGTACGGTAGGCAGGTGGACAAAATAAAACCGTCAGCATCTCACATCAACCCTGCGGCAAGGACCACGGGCTAAAAATACTCCTGCTGCAAGGAAATTTAGAGCATCCTCTGGAGTCCGTGTCATATTACTACTAGAGTTCCAATACAGTACGAGTGGTCAAATCCGGCATCGTGCCCCTGGTGCACCACGCAATTGTGTTGCCAGAGCTATTTTGTCCACGGCTAGTCTCCTGCCCGCCCACCTTTGGCAGGTGAAGGGCGAGTTGCGTGGAATTCAGGCTGAAGCAGGCTGGAGAGCATAGCTCTCGCCCCCTCTAATAGCTCGCTACCTAGGCTGTTTCGCTAGGGAGTTCTCAGTGCCAACCATCTCTCCCTCCCTGTAGCAAAATCAGGATCGAACCCCTGTGTATGAGGAGCTGTTTCATTCGCTGGGTTCGACGAGATCTGACTCAGGTGTGGCGGGTGAATTTGTGACTGTGGCTCAGTACAGGCTCCAGCCAAACCGACGTCATGTGTTCCAGGGATGCACCCGGATTCCGGATTTACCTTGCACCGAATCCGATATTCCAATCTAGCCGAAACTTCCTACGGGCAGGACAAGGGCAAAATACGAGTGCCAAGACAAGTTCCGATGTGTGCACCTCTCTGTACAGCAACATAGCACCACCCACCTCTCCCACACGAGCAGACGTGCATTCGGACGAGATCAATATTAGAAAGGCCCACGGGCGGTGTCAATAGAGGCGGGTGAGATGTGGCCTTTTGGCATGGCGCTAGCAGTGCTAACTCTCTTCGCGGGACATCCGTCGAGGTTATTGGCATTTAGACATGCCAACAAGGCTGTCTGCAGGTCTGCGAGGTACCAGAGTCGTATTCCCGATCGAGATTTGCAGGGGAATTTGACGAAGGGAGCCGTGTTATTGCCAGCAAGCCGCCCAGCCTGGCCATCTGGTAGGGGAACACAACATCCAGTTCATCCCGTCGTCCCATTTCATTACACAACAGTTATCAATCAAGAGGAAGCTGTTGTAGGCCATGTCCGACTGCTTTAACTTGGCCCTAGAGGGCTGACAGCGGAGACTGGCGATTACTAGTGCCAACCCAGTGGAGAGGGACTTTGACAAACTTCCCCCAGTGCGGCTGACGGGCCAGGACCAATTGGGCGTTGGTGGTACGCTTGTTGATCTCACGGCCAGCAAGAGGGAGGATGAGGATGAGGAGTGAACAGCCTCCGGATTCAAGCAGAGCCAGGAGTGGACTGTTCTGCCCTCTTTGCCATCTCGCGATCCATTTTGCTTGACCTTTTTTAAAGTCTTAGGTACACTGACGATGACGATTCAGGCCCCAGCGAAAAGTAAGTCGTACATGCATGCATGCGGACGTCACCCACGCACCACGTCCTACCATTCCGCTGCCAGCAAGGACCCTGAGCGACTCTCTACCCAAAAATACGGGTTTGCATTAGCCTGGCACCTGTCTTTGTACCTACTTGTCTTGACTACCTCGTCTCTGGACACGTTCTAGCGTCACATGGATGGTTTCCCAGGGAATGCGTGGGTGGGCTCTATGGAGAAGCAAGGGTGCGGTTCCAAATTTCGGCCCGGACCACTCAGGACCAGTCTGTCTGATTGCCTGGCTCGTCGGTTCTCTCTCCATTCATCGACTCGAGTCGACGTAGTATTCTCCCCCAGAAACCCGGTCGTGGCTGGCGGGTAGGAGGGCGATCCAACCCGTCTTGTGTTCCGACCTACCTAAGTTGGTACAGTAATTTAGAGTAGATTATTAGAGTAGTCTAGTGGAGGAGGGAGGCTGTACCTGGTGCGCCGTGAATCCGTCTGGGGCGCTGCTGGGTCAAACTGCAGCTTGAAGACAGCTCCCCATTGATGGCCAGCCGATCTCACCACTGGGGAGGGATGGCAACCAACACACACATGGACAGCCGTGCTAGACTGTTCCCGGCAGGATCGAACTAGGCGCAAACACTCACTCTGCTGTCTCTGTACTGCGAGGTACCCTGTCTGCAACTCTTGGCTGTTTGCGTTATGCGGCCCATTAGCTCCAGGGCAAGCGCGAGTCGCCGGGGTCTGTCAGTCTTGGATGGTTCCAGCTCGTATCGAGTGCGGAGTTTGATTGAATGGTTCTGGCTTGCCCAACATTTTCCCTCCTCTGCTTCTTCCTTTCTTGATTTCGTATTGTTTTCCATTCTGTGCTTGCTCTCCATGGCTTCTCGATTTTCTTTCTTGGGGGGTTTCAGCATGGTCTCGCTCCCGTCTAATTGATCATTTTTATTTCCCACTCTTGATTGCAGTCGCAGCACGTCCCAAGACAGAAAAAGCAAGCAGCGCTGCCTTGTTTAATAAGCTTCAGCTCTGTCTTACATCGCTATCTACCCCCGATATCCAGTGCTGATGATCACTCGGTCATTTCTGCGGCGGATCTGATCAAAGCCAGTGCCATTGCGTCCCCGGCAGCATCCAAGCGAGCCCGGCACAATTGAGTGGCAGCTAAGCTTACTTGCAGCAGAGGAGGAAACGAAGCCCAGACATTGGTTGGAAACAGTCCGGCACCATTCCTCTCTATAAGTGACACATGGCGCATCACCGTCGTTGATTAGCCTTCCGAGTCTGCTATTCGCCATTTACCTTGTGCTTCCTCCCAAAATGAGAGCCCCTATCAAGGCTGCCTCTGCCTTTCGAGGCCTCGTTAGCCTCCTTCTTCTGACAACATGGCCGATCCAGCTGACCCTGGCTTACGATCTGGACCCAAATTCGACAGAATCGGTCACAGCTACAGCGAAGAAGATGGCAAGCGATATGCTGAGCTTCTACAATGGCGATAAGCCTGGTGGTACTCCAGGACTTCTGCCCGATCCATATTACTGGTGGGAGGCTGGCGCCATGTTTGGTGCTCTAATCGAGTACTGGTATTATACCAAGGATGAGACGTATATAGACATGACACAAAAGGCTCTACTTTTCCAGATTGGCAAGCAAAAGGACTACATGCCCGAAAATCAGACCCTGACCGAGGGCAACGACGACCAGGGTTTCTGGGCATTAGCAGTCATGGCTGCCGCCGAATATAACTTTCCCCATCCCGGAGGTGACCAACCATCCTGGCTTGCGCTCGCGCAGGCCGTATTCAACACACAGGCTCCCCGTTGGGACGATACGAGTTGCGGAGGTGGCTTGCGATGGCAGATTTACACATGGAACAAGGGATATGATTACAAGAACTCGATTTCGCAGGGTACCTTCTTCGCGCTGGGCTCTCGCCTTGCCCTCTTCACCGGGAATCAGTCATACGCCGACTGGGCAGTGAAGACATGGGACTGGATGGAGGGGGTGGATTTCATCGACGAGAAGGGATACGTCTATGACGGCGGACATATCCCATACAACTGCACGAACATCGTCCCGTATCAGTTCACTTACAATTCGGGTGTTTTTATCAACGGCGCGGCAGCCATGTATAATTTCACAGAGAATAAGATGTGGAAAGAAAGGCTTGACTTGCTGCTGGAGGGTTCCAAGGTCTTTTTCACCGGAGATGACAAGAATATTATGGAGGAGGTCGCATGCGAGCCAGTTGACCATTGCAACGTTGACCAGCAATCGTTCAAGGCTTACCTCAGCCGTTGGCTAGCAGGCATCACGCAATGGGTTCCAGATACATACGATTTTGTCATGCCTTACATACGGGCCTCGGCAGTTGCTGCAGCGAAGCAATGTATTGGTGGAAGCAATGGGCGTATGTGTGGTCTCAAGTGGAGCACTGGAAAGTACGACGGCTCTTCCGGCGTCGGTCAGCAGATGGCGGCGTTGGAGGTTACTTTGGCGTGCATGGTCAAGCAGCGAGACCCGATCTTGACCTCGCACACCGGCGGTACCAGCGAAAGTGATCCCGGGGCAGGCAGCGAGGACATAGGGAGAAACAAACCTGCATGGGCGGATAAGCCTGTCACGACTGCTGATCGTGCAGGTGCGATCATACTCACAATCATCGTCATTGTTTCCATGCTGGCAGGGGCCGTGTGGCTCTTTGTCGATGAAACGTCAGATGCTTCGTTCCTCGAACAGGTCAAGGGCATCAACTTTTCGATCGCCGCTATACTTGCTTTCCTGACAGCAGGCGCAGCGGTTGCCAAGAAACCTGGCTCGGAAGATGGTAACGAGAAGGCTGGGCAGAAATCGTCAAGTCCGGGGTCGAGCTCCTTTGAACAGAATGGCCGCGAAACGCCCCTCCAAATTTCTCGGGTGACTAACAGGACTAGCGGGCACGTACGTAGAGCGTCGAATATGCCTATTGGATGGCCCAATATTTCGTCTGTGAGGGCTAGCGGTGCCTTGGCTGACATTGAGAAAACGGCCGGAACGACGCTGGAAGATGTGACGGCACAGCAGACGTCGAATACTCGAGACCAAGCAGTGATCCAGGAGACCTCGTCACCAGCAGCAGCAGAACAGACACACGTCGAAGGAGCAGCCAGAGAAGAAGCCCAAGAGCAAAATGTGCCTCATACGGCGGCCGAAACCAAAGACCAAGGGGGGACTCAAGCTCAACCGAAGCGCGACTTGAATGCTGCGGTGGTTACCAACGACCAGGAAACCAGCCCACAAAATGCGACATCGCAACCTGAAACTCAACCCAGTGCGAAGACTGACGAAACTACCGACGGGAATCTCGAAGTTGGTCCAGAAATTACGGCATCGCAAGAGCCATCCCAACTTCAAACTCAGCCCGACGTGACTGTTGATACTACCAAGGACAGCCCAGAGGCTGTCAAAGAAACCACACCATCACAAGAGCCAGCGCAACCGCAGCTCAAAGATGATGTGGAAAGCTACCACCAATAGTAACAACTTGGAAGGTGCTGAAGAAAGTACGCCATCGAAGGAGCCACTACAACCTCAACCTCAACCCCAAAAAACAACAAACGAAACAGGATGATGAAATTCATCCAGCCTAGCCACGAAACTAAGTAACGACCGTGTACGACATGAATTTTTGTTATTTTAGCATGGGCCTGGGATTCAGGCTTCTTGGAGAACAATGAGTGGGGAAAATATCTGTTCAACTGGGTTTATTTTTTGGCGTTATCGCGATCACGACATAAATGTATGGAATAAACGAGATTTTTAGGGGTTGGTTTGACCGCAAACCCCTATTAGTAATGAGTTCTTGGTATCAGGCTCATCTTTATGTATTTAAATGGCAGTCTCTGTCCGTCTTGAAACTCCAAAAGTAATTATATCAATCACCTTTTACAAATCGCATGCTAAATTTTCACTATGAGAAAGCCCTCAAACCGATTAATTTATTCCTAAGATGTTACCAACATAACAAGTTTCTATCTGAGGTATTTTCTATAAAAAAACATGAGATATGGCTCAATTCTGACGCCGACATCTGAGCCCGCCCATCGTCAGCATGGGTTGTAATTGACGAATCCATGTCTAAGCCTTGGGAACATTGGCGAAAGTGATGTCAAGTGCCTCCTTCTCTCTTGCCAAAAATGCATCAAAGGTGCTAAGGGGGAGGTTGAAGCCTCTGACCTCCTCCAAACTCTCGTAGCGTGCCATGGTTCTCATCGCCAGCTGCCCACGAATAAAAGGGTTTGCTTCCTTTTGCTCCTGAACATCCTCTTCTGGCAAGGTTCTCCTCTCTATATCCTTTCCCGTGGCCACCCTCAGCTTTTGGGCGATTTCCTCCGTGGTCAGGAGCTCGTCAAAGAAACGTATGTCCTTTCCGTTGAAGCGCTCGGGGTCAATCACGGCGGCTGCGGCGAAGACGCCAACCGTCTCCGTGTCGGTCAGGGTGAGTCTGGTATCAGCGAGCAAGGCAGTGGTCCATTTTCCGGTCGAGGTGAGATCGGGAAACATCTTGACCAGAGGCTGCACGAAGTTGGCCATGAAGAACCCCGGTCGGAGGATGGTGGAGGTCTGGAAGCCGAGGCGGACCTCCTTCTCGATGTCGAGTTTGGCACGCATCATCCGGGAGAAGAAGGCGTCCTCTGCTACGCCGTCCAGCACGTCTTTCAGCCGGTCAGGGCTCATTCCACTGCTGCATACGGCATGAGTGACTCCGGCGGCTTGGGCAAGACGGATGATGAGCTTGGCCTGGCGGAGGTTGGCGGACGCATCGTTGAAGTCGGGCATGAAGTTGAAGAAGACGGCTGCGGTTCCCGCCAGAGCGTCTCGCAGGGCATTTTCATTGTCAAAGTCGCCGTGCCAGAGCTTGGCACCAAGTGATGCAATGGACTTGGCCTTTGGGGAGGTTGAGTCCCGGGCCACGGCATGGACGGCGATCCCCTTTGAGAGGAGTTGTCTGGCCAAGGCGCCACCTTGAGTACCAGTTGCTCCACACACGAAAACAGCTTGGGGGGTCATTTTGAATTGAGGGGACTTATAAATTGTCTGTATCTTGTGTCGAGGGAAGTTTAAGCTTGGAAGGCAATGTGTGATATCTCGCAATTACTCCAACAGCACTCTTCTTTATATTACACACTGGATCGTTATATCGAGGTTTCGCTACAGTCAACCTTTCTAATTACCTAGGTAGGTATAACTTACCCTTCTAAGCCAGCTATGATATCTCGAGAACAGGGGCCTTTCATCGGACCTCACTACATGTATCAGACCACCGGGGTTCCAGCAAATCTAACCTCCCCAAGAGATAATCTCACCTCAGATTTCCTTTTGGGGTAAAGTCGCTTAAAAGCCTCCAAATGCCCGGCATAATGCTCGGCATAATGCCCGGCACATACATAGGTAATTATATATATATACCTTATGAAAAACTGGGCTACCATAAACAGCAGCTAATTTAGCTATTGGTTGCGACAGCCAAGTCAGGTCCGTAGCAATTAGCTGTCTTAAACAGTAGCAATTTAGCTATTGGTTACAACAGCTAGGCCAAGCTTACAGCAAAAGGCTGTCTCGAACAGCAGCTAATTTGGCTGTTGGTTGCGATGGCTGTTGGTTGCAACAGGTTGGTCAGGGCCGTAGCTACAGGCTGTCTGTAAATACCCTGTTGGTTGGGACAGCTGGGTCGGGTTTACAGCGAGCACCTGCTATAACGAGAGATCGCTGCGGACCTGATCTGGCTGTCCTTTGCCAAGATAAACGATAGCTGTATAGTTGACCTAGCTGTCTCTCGCTAAGACGAGTGATCGCTGTGTGGTTGACCCAGCCGTCTTCCGTCAAGACGAGAGATCGCTACGGACCGGACCAGTCTGTCTGCTGTAAAGACGAGCTATTGCTACGAGCATGACCTAAAAAAATCTGAGGATTCTAATAATATCGCTAATATCGGGGTTCAGGCCATTTTACTAGTGGAATTAGCCCGTCGCACCTCTTGGATCCTTACAGGGAAAATATCGTTATGTCGAAGATCGTTATAGACCTGGTTGACTGTAATACTATATACTACCAACGTAGTTTCGTCAACATAGGCGGATGAACTTGTCGGACCTCCGCCAATAGATCGATTCTATACAGGAAGTCTTCCATGCCGCCAATTCCCCATCGCGGCGGGTCGTGATGGGGGAGACAGGCGGCACTCCGAGTCTCTCGCTCCGCCGGCGAGATCGGTAATTGTGGAGCGGGCAGGCGGAGTTCCGCCTCAACAGGAGCTGCGTCGTCTCCACTGTCTCTCGTCCGACCTCCTTGTGCCAAGCCCTCCTATGCTCACTCTCGCTCAACCATCTTTACATCTGTCGTGGCATGATCATACCTCCCCAAGAACTGTCAACAAACCTTCCACCCAAGGGTCTCCTCATCACAGGGACAGCGGCTGCTCATTGACGCTGGCCACCCACTGCCCACCATGTCCCAGACCGCTCGAGAGCGCCATAACCCTCCGCCCAGACAGAAGTCTTGCGCAGCATGTATTAAAGCAAAACGCAGATGCGATGCAGCGTATCCCACCTGCCAGCGCTGCGCGCAGCGTGGTATTGAATGCGAGTATCTGGCGCGCAAACGCCGCAAGGCCCCAACCTCCGCCGCGCCCATCCCTACCCCCCCGTCACCGACTGGCTTGGCCGACCTTAATTATCTGTCGGGCGGGATCCCGTCCCCCCCTACGACGGCGGAATCTCTATGTGCGGGGTTCGCTTCTGGGGAGAGCTTGTTTCCCTCTAGTATCGACCCGCTGATGCCCATGGTTGATACAACGGACTTTGACCAGGATCCAAGTTTCCTATCCATGTTTGACACGATGGAGGACACGAACCTGGGACTAGTCCATCAGCCATCCGTGCTAGCAGGCCCCATACACAGAGACATAGATCCAATCGTCCTGTTCCAGGACAAACTTCAGTATGCCCTGGATGAGATCAAGAAGATGCCGGCATCGATGGTACGCGAAATGAAGACACCTTGGTGTCACTTCAGGTTATACAAAAGCGGAATGCCTCGTCCAATGCAAGGTACGTATCGATACACTTGACCTCTTCCGGTGTCTTAGCCCAGCAGATTCTTACATTGATACGGCAGACGCTGTTGCATGCTGCGCTCTCTACCTCGCCAAAAATAAGGTCAATGGTCCCTTTATCATGCGGTCCATCGAAGTCAAAGTGAACGAGCTTATTGCGACGCCCGAGCCCACGGATACCCTGGGGTTATTGGCTCGTACGCAAGCCTTGCTGCTCTACCACATCGTCCGTGTCTTTGACGGCGATATCGCCGCCCGGGCTGCCGCAGAACGCACTCAGTCAGCTCTCGAAGACTGCGCCATGTCTCTCATTCCGCTGGTCAGCTTTGACTGCGACCCTCAGAAACCGGCCGGGGCCAACCTGTCCTTGGAGCCGATCGGGCAGGTGAACAAGTTCTGGCAGGACTGGGTCTTTGACGAGTCGGCTCGGCGGACTCTCCTGTTCACGTTCTTCTTCCTGCAGATATACCGGGTGTTGTCGGGGCCCGTCACGGAGTGCGATGGGAGGCTGGGGCTGTGCCACACGTTCACGCTCTCCTCGTACTTGTGGCACGCGGACGGGCCCCTGACTTTCGCCAGGGCGTGGAAGGAGAGGAGGCACCTTGTGATATCGAATGCGGACTTCCAGGCTGTGTTTAGGGAGGCTCGGGCCGACGAGATAGACGAGTTTGGGCGCCTCCTTTTGACCACGATACTGGGGAAGGAGGACACGGAATCTTTTCTGGCTTCGAGGGGGGGTTCGTTGCAGATACCGGCTTTGATAGCAGCCTAGGGGTGCGAAGTGTGGCCAATGGACTTTACTTTTCCTCATTTCTTGTTCTTGTGTGGGAGTTCTTTTCTTTGGGTAGTAGCAGGCATGATTGATATGACTTGGTGATACCTAGGTATTTTCTCAAGACAAGATGAAACCCTAATTAATCACCATAAGTTTTATCTATTCGCTTTGAATTGGGACATATATTCGGTAGACGATGATCTCTTATAAAGTGCAAACATTGAATGTTCTTATTATAATAGTACTTGCTCTGATCGAGCTTGTGATGGAGATGTAGGGTAGCCAGTGATTGGCTAGGTTCTCACTTTAGCAGCATTGAGCGAATTGGCAGCTGAAACCAAACCATAAAGTGACACCGCAGACGTTGTGGAGAGGCAAGTGGATCTCCCGCCTAAGGTTTGGGAATGGATTGATAAGTGATCCATCATCTAATTGCTGGGGTCCAGTCCTGAAGCGACCCTTTTTGTCCTGTTCTCCGTCGACTCCATCCAGGCTGTTGAGGCTAGGTTTCGTACTTAATTGCCTGCATGTGTCTCTTTTCTTCGATTCGTATTACGCTGTGCCTCACATCATTCCACCTACCAATCGACCCCTGGATGGCCATTCATTAAGAAACGCCCCTTACGTGCCGAGTCGCGGCAACTTCAA